AACGTGATCAGGATATAGTGTGAATCTAAAGAAGGAATGGTTTAGTATTGCTTAGCAAGGAATTGTTTAACGATAGTGAAGATATTTTTGGGAGTAAAGCATAAATATACATTCGCGGAAATTGTTGTTGCGATTTAATATAAATAAATTGGAAGGAAATGTATTAGCATTATTGGCATTAAAAAAATAAATCATCATCCCACTATTACGTGAAGTCCATTTTTGGAAATAACCTTTTAAAAATCTTATATTTGATCATATGGCACAGCAATGATAGGCGTGCAACAATGGTTCGCAGACACGTGGAGCGTTCATCGAGATATTTTCCAATAAAAATTCAAAGTTTTGCTTGATGTGAATATAAAAATTTGTTCTATTTAATACTGGTGATATCATCAAGAACTAAAGAGCGGCTTTCTGCACGTAAAGAAAATTTTTAAAAATATGTTGACATTATGATTAACTTGGGTACATCTGCGACTCAGTAGTCACATTTAAAGAAAAAAAAAATAAATCTTATTACTCCAGAGCAAAAGCTTGCTTTTAATTGTAGGTGATAAAAATAATAATCGTCGAGACGATTAAGTTTTTAAATGCTAATAATAAATAAACTTTAATCAAATAATATATATATTTTTTTTTTGTTTTGTACAAAAATTGATATTATTAATTGACTAAAAAAAATTAAGATAAATTTGCTTGTTTATATAAATTACACATTAATAATTAATGATTATTATTACTAATTATAAATATATTTTTAATATTAAAAAGAAATTTAATTTATAATTCTTCTTCTAATCCAACGTTTATTGTTATTATTGTTATTGTTTTTATTGCTATTATTTTTATTTTGTAATATAGATTTTTTAAGTCTTAAGGTGTTTATTGGTCTCATTTTCTTGTAGATTCTTTGTTCCCCTTCTTCATCTTCCATATCATCATCTTCACTTTTAACAACCAGCCTCTTTCTTTTATTATTTAAACCACCATTGTTTGTTTTACTATTATTATTATTATCACTATCAATACTACTATCATCATCTTCATCTTCATCATCATCTTCTTCTTCTTCTTCTTCTTCTTCTTCTTCTTCTTCTTCTTCTTCTTCTTCTTTTTTCTCGGCTATTTCATCTAATCTCGCTCTTCTATTATTATTTACTCTAATATTTATATTATTATTATTACAATTATTGTCATTATCTTCACTATCTTCAACGTCATTGCTGTCAGAATTACTATTGTTAAAATCATCATTACGATTACCATTTATAACACCTTTTTGATTACCATTACGACGATTTCTATTATTAGCAAACAATTTATTTGGCAGCTCTCTTTCATCATCATCATCTTTACTACCAGTACCACAACTGTTACCAAAATCATTATTACGATCACCATCACCATCACCATTTTTGCTTTTGTTTCTGCTATCATCAAACAAGTTATTTAGTAACTTGCTGTCAACAACATTGACATTCTCATCATTTTTGGTAGTGGTGGCATCACTGTAGGTTACAGAATCGTTGGCATTAAATGAATGTTTTTTTAGTTTTTGTATCTCTTGTAATTTCATTTCAAGTATTCTTGCAAACTCTGGATTATAATCCTTTTGTGATTTTTCTCCGTCTTCTACTTTTCCCTTATCTGCTTCACTTTCCGGTTCGTTTTCTTGTGATTGATGATGATGATGATTGACACAATTACTATTATTATTACTGTTATCACTGTTATTATCATCATTATCATCACTTTTATATTGAACTTGATCTTGCGGTATTGGAATCTCTAAAATAGGAGCAGGAACAGAAGATAGAGATAGAGGTGAGGATGAAGTCTCGACGTTTGTTACTAGTTGTGGTTGTGGTGTAGTATCCGCATTTATTTGAGGAGATGGTAAATGATTATTGTCGCCTGATTCATTATCATCATTATTAATATTATCATCGTCTGATTCATCATTATCATTACGATTATTATCGTCGTTATTATCGTATAACTCGCCTTCATCATTATAAGTACTATTACTATTATTATCAACTAACTCATCAGATTTATCATTATTATTGTTGTCACCTAACTCGTCATTATCGTCGTCGTCATCATTATTATTTATCAACATAGATATACTAATTGATCTTCTTTCAATAGTGGCTGTTGAGTTTGATGATTGTTCAACCGGTATTGAAGAAGAACATTGTGGCACTGATGATAATGACGGATGTTGAGGTATTATCGGTGATGGTTGTTGTAATGGTATGGATGTTGAAGATGAAGATTGATAATGCGGATATAATGATTGTGAATGTGAATGTGGTTGCTGATATGAAGATGATGATGATGAATATGATTGTGTATGTGAATTATGTGGAGATCTAGAGTCATATGAAGAGGATGATATATGTGGCATCGTAGAGTCATGATGTGGTTGATAAAATGTAGAATCGTAATTTGGTTGATATGAAGACCTGGATTCAGAATTTGAAGAAGATAATGGATATGAATATGTAGAGCCATAATGTGGTTGGAACGGAAAAGAATTTGACGATATGTTATCGTGTGAAATAGATTGTGCTGTTGATATCCCATTTGAATGATTGCTGGTACCAGCATAATTACTCGAAGCCTATGAATTTAGTATCAATTTATCATTAATATCATTATCGTTATCATCATCGTTGTCGTCATCATCATCATTATTCATTATTTAATATATTTGAATGAATGAATGAATAAATAAATTTACCGTAATGTTATTAGCTTGGTCATTTGTTCGCAAACATGTCCATAAAGAAGAAGAAGGTCTTCTTTGTCCTAACGTTGGTGAATATTGATCGATAGCACGTAAATTAGTTGAAGTATTAGTGGCATTAGTAGTATTAGTAGGTTGTGGTGATGATAATAATGACGACGATGGTTCATTGTAGAAAGACGTTGGAAATGTTGACCATCTTGTTGAATTACAGTCGATTGGTAGCGGCAAAATTGGAGCTAGTTCATTATAATAGATTCCGGCAGGATTAGAACCTTGAATCGTTCTTAATAATTCACCATCTCCAGGATATATAGCATTTGGCCGTATAACATTCAAATTATTTTCTACATTATTATTAAAAATTAAAATTATAAAATAAAAATAATTAAAATATAATGTATAAAATATTATAAATAATGTAATAAATATATAGCATAATATTGTGTATAAGCAATGTAATAATAATGTAATAATAATGTAATATATGTATTATGTAAAGAACATGTTTAAGATTTTGAGGTCATTTATATGCATTACCCGAAGAATCGTTTGGTCTATAAGAAACCATTCTTCTAACTTCGTGTCCAGGTGGTGGGCCACGCTTTTTTCCAGGATTACCAGGAACACATGGTTTGTCGAGCTTCAGGCAGTAACCACAAGGTGGTGTGCCAGAACACTTAATCTTTCGTTTTTGACAATTTAAACAAGCAGTAGTGACTTTTGTTCTGTTTTGTCCTGGTTTTCTTCTCATTTTATTATTGTTGTTATTATTATTATTATTAATAGTAGTTATTATTTATTTTTTTTAAATAAAAAATATATAATTCTATGTTTTTAAAAAATTATATTGTAGAAAATAGTTTTTTTTCTTTTTTTGAAAAAAAAAAAAAAATAAAATAAATAATTTAAATTTGTTTGTTAACAATTTAAGTGCGGAAAAATCCGAGACTTGTTCGGAAAAACAAAAGTTTTTTTTTTACTTACTATGTAGTTTTTGTGTGTGTGTATATATATATATATATATATATATATATATATACAGTAATATTTTTAATATATAAAAATAAAAATTTCTCTCAAATTTTCTCGTATAAATTAAAAATGATAAACTATTGGATAAAAAAATTAAAGTTTCATCCCCAAATATTCGGAAAAGGCAGTATTATTAATTAAAAATATTTAATAGTGTGTATGTATGAAGGAAATTTACAAAAAAAAGTTAAAGAAAATTGATAAAAAATAAAATAAATTTTCCATAAGGGTTCTTTTAATCCATAATATGTAATGTAAAGAAGATCCACAAATTTTTGAAAATCTAATTTTTTTTAATTTTTGAATTTGTATCACGTAAATTTACCCACCTGCCATAATGTTACACACATTATTATGTAAACAAGTTATTTTTTATGAAAAATTTTTGATTGCTATAAATATAATATTTGCAACAACAACTATTTTTTTTTAGAAAAATCTTTTCTAAAAAAATATAAAATAAAAATGCCTAAAGATACCACCCTCACTGAAAGGTCATTTACAACAACAAGACGATCAAGCAGGTTGGAACAAAAAAGGGAAAAGAAAAGAAAAGAAGAGGAGGAGGAAGAAAATGAGTTCATACATCCGAGTGAAGAGAAGTCAGAAGACGACATTGAAATTATTCATAATAATCGGTTTGTTTTAAAAACAATAAATATTTAAATTTTTATCTAATTTATTGTTATTGTCAAATCAGTTATTTAATTTATACAATTCAAAAAATTATATATATATATATATATTAACATTTGTTAAAATTGATAAAATCGATTTGAATTTTATTATTTTTATTATTTTTTTTTCAAGGACTATTTTAGTTAAAAAAGTAAAAAATATGGTTAACAATAATAAAAATACAAAAGCTAATACAAAGTCAACCAAAAATACCACAGCTTCAATAAAAAAATCATCGTCATCAAATATAGTAGATGTCAAATGGAAGCAATTAATACAGGATACAAATATGACATCATCATCATCATCATCAGATTATGATGATGATGACGACGACGATGATGACAACGATGATGATGATACTGATTCATCATTTGATATAACAGCAAAATCTAAAAAAAAATATAAAAAAAAAATTACTAAAAAACCTACTATCAAAAAACCAACTATCAAGAAACCAACTATCAAGAAACCTACTACTAAGAAACCTATTACTAAGAAACCCACTACTACTACTACAAAAAAATCCATCATGTCAAAGAAATCATCTAAAAAAGAATTTAATAATGGTGTATCTTGTAATAAATCAGATTCTCATAATGAGTGTGGTATTAATAAAGTTCCTGCTAATAATAATAATAATAATAATTCTAATAATAATTCACAATCGACTATTATAAAACCAGCATTAAAATTTCGATCTTCTCCTGCCATCACACCTTCACTATACTTTGCCGTTACTCAACAACAAGGTTGGGAAACTGGTGGTCTTCGATCTGAACAACCTTCAAGAAACACTCATCCAGACATGGAGGATGCTTACTATGTCCCATACATGGCAAATGAAAAAGTTCATTATCCCTCAGATACTCCTTATACTTTATTTGTATTAGCTGATGGTCATGGTGGATCAAGCGCATCGAGACATTTTTGTAGAATGGTGCCTGAGGCTATTCAAGATGTTTTGTGTTCTCAAGCTTCTTGGTCATTCAGAGAACCTAGTGGTCAACAACTATTTAGAGAAAAGGTGAAGGAAATGTACAAAAGACTCGATAATGAATATTTGAGTTCTCAGAAAAAAAAGTTTTCAGA